GGAACCAATAATAACATAAACAGGTTGATTAGTTTAGATCCAGAAAGGAACCAATAATAACATAAACAGGTTGATTAGTTTAGATCCAGAAAGGAACCAATAATAACATAAACAGGTTGATTAGTTTAGATCCAGTCAGCAGGTAAAGTGTGAGAAGAAGTGGACTGAAAAACTGACGTCTGCATGTTTACCGTTCTTTGGAGTGACTGTTCTGGAAACGTTCACCAGGATCACGGTGAAACTTTAGGAATGACACGTCAGGACGGGGGGGGTCACACATCGTCTCTATCCTCCATGTTGACCTCGCCTTTAGTCGTCTCCTCCCTCTTATTCCTCGTTAAAACCCAACACTTTCTGCTGATTGGCTGGCCTTCTTTTAGCCCCGCCTCCTGTCCTGTATCTGCAGTTCAGCTGCTTCTGTCACTCAGATCTATGAAAATGATCAAAATAAAGAGAATTAGATTTAAAAAAGAGAGAAATCCTGTCAGCGATGTTCCTGGGAAGAAAAGGAAAGCAAAAAATAAATCCTATTTATTGCTTTGAAGTTTTTACTTTAATTTAAGCCATAAAGTATTTAAACGAGGCGATTTTCTCCCACTGCTGAGATCAGAGGACAGTGAAGTACTCTGCAGTACGAGTAGAAGTACTTTAACAGTTTTACTCAATTAACAGTAAAGATAAATTATGTAAGACATTCAGTGAAGGTAACCGATGATCCTCCTTATGAAGACGCTGCTCATCCTGATGGAGAAATGTTCTCAGGTGAGCAGCAGCAGCACAGGTGAGCAAAGATCCTCTCTGTGACAGGAAGCTCACTCACACCGGAAAACTCCAGAGACCCCGACAGTCCTTTTCTCCTGCTGCTGCCGCTCATCCCGCCTGTCACTGTGACATCATTAATCCCCATTCCACATCATTTCCTGTCTCTTAGGCCTCATAGTTACAGAGTTACTCCCCGCCCCCCGCCCCCCCGCAAACACCAAGCTGCCCTTGAGCTAAAGAAAAACATAACAAGGCTCCCACTCAAGTGGAGCTTCTTAACAGCCGGTCATAAAACACGTGATAATTGGGAGGAAGCTGCAGAGCTGCAGTTACGGCTCAGCTGCAGGAAACCATGAAAAACCCACAGAGCTGCACTAACAGCATCAGGGCGATGGCGAGGAGCGTCCATCGCCGTCAGAAAACATCTCTGGGTTACTGACTCACCTGGGTTATGAAGATGTGGGGAAATAACGATGCTTGTTTACTCTTTGTTCTGATTTAGTTTCAGTCAGTCAAACATAATTTATGCAGCACTTAAAAAAAACATGCAATTACCAGCAGATAAAATGAGGAACTAATCAGCAGCAAAAATAACGTTGGACGGATGAACAAACGTTAAACTGTGAATAAAAATACAATAAAAAACAACAGAAGGAACTTTAAAGGATTCTTGCTGCCAATGAGTCAGACGTGGATTTGACCTCCTTTAGCGCTACGCTATCAGAGTACACACCTGTTCTCCATTCTACCTTTGAACCGTCTGACGCTACTCTTAAACACGCCTCACTTTTTCTGATCATATTTAATCGTAAAACACATAACCCCTTTTTTTCAAATAAGTCAAATCTAATAAAATCATGAAAACATTCTTTCAGGGGAAAAGGTGTTTTTTTTTTGCAACGGATTATAATCAGATTATAATCGGATTATAATCAGATTATAATCGGATTATAATCAGATTATAATCAGATTATAATCGGATTATAATCAGATTATAATCTGATTATAACCAGATTATAATCAGATTATAATCTTCGTATTTGATTTTAAGCATGAAATCAAACATTAACACATCTGGATATTTTATGTAACTCTTAGGAACCAAAATTAGGTTTAAACCAAAGTTAGATTTTATTTTTCTTGAACTTG